TTCTGTCACAACATTGGGAATATGAAAGAGGGTGGCATGAGTCTCTTGGAGAAGTTCAAGAAAAGCCTCCTGTCTGGATCCAGACTCTACTGCCTTGATAGCATCTCCCGGAACCAGGACTGTCAAAGATGGTACTTTCTAATGTTGAGCCACACCCTGCTCTCCAGTCCAGTGCCTGCTCAGATCAGGGCTAGGAGGGGTCCACAGTTGGGCTTTGTGATGTCAAAGCAGCTGACCTATCAGGACTCAGGACACGCCTTCCATTGTTCTCGGAGGCTTTATAAGGCCGCGCAGTCGGAGCTCTCAGCCAGACCAAGCCAAGCTTCAGAATGGCTAAGGCAACTAAGAAGTCACAGGATCCTACTAAAAATGTCAAGCCATCAACTTCAGGTATGAAGTCCAAGAAAGCCAAAACTCGCCGTGAGACCAAAGCCAGAGCTGCTGGCAATAAGGATGGTGAATCCAGTTCCAGAAGCTGTAGAATGGTAAGAAGGATTTCCACTCCTAACCCTTTCTTGGCCTAGCAGTAAAACCCCTTCCTCAGCCCAAAGCCCTTCTCCTTCAGTCCCCTTCGCATATTCCATCTTCTCGAAAACCCATATGCCACTTTACTCTGTTGTCTGTTCCAGGCGCAAGTGGTTACCAAGGTCAAGAAAACCCGACCACGGAGCCCAAAGAGAAAGGCTTCTGAGAAAACTACAACCTCTACCAGAAAGACCAAACGAGCCAACAAGAAGTCACTGTTTGGCCAGTACCACCGCCTGATGGAAGAGATGGCCCGTACCGAGACTGATCCAGGCCAAAGCAGCAGCGTAGAGAGCTGCAGTGTCTCAACAAGTGACCTGGAAAGCCAGTAGCCTCCGAGTGCCGCAAGAGACCTAGCAATCTGTGCAAAGGTCTGGCAACTAGGCAATGTGAAACTGTGTAGGCTGAATTTCCCTACACAGCACTTTGATGTTGATCAAAATAAAATCAATCTGAAATGAAAACGATGTATCACTGAGAATCTCTAATGATGGAACATGGGAGGAAGGAGGGGGAAGGAAGGAGGGGAGGAGGGGGAGGGAAAGAGGGAGGAGGGGAGGAGGGGAAGGAAGGAGGGGGGAGGGGAGGAGAGAGGAGGGCAAGGAAGGAGGGGGAGGAGGGAGGAGGGGAAGGAAGGAGGAGGGGAGGAGGGGAAGGAAGGAGGAGGGGAGGAGGGATGAGGGGAAGGAAGGAGGAGGGGGGAGGGCAAGGAAGGAGGAGGGGAGGAGGGATGAGGGGAAGGAAGGAGGAGGGGGGAGGGCAAGGAAGGAGGGGGGAGGGCAAGGAAGGAGGAGGGAGGGAGGAGGAGAGAGGAAGGAGGGGGAAGAAAGGGGAGAGGAAGGAGGGGGAAGGAAGGGGGAGAAGGAGGGGAGGAAGGAAGAAGGAAAAAACAAGAAGTGAGGAGTACTGGGTCCTACAGGGGTGAGGGCCAGACAGGCAAATACAATGTCCAGTGGACACTAGATGGTTGAGACTGAGCTAACATGGAGCACTACAGACACATTCCTTCCTGATACTTTATTCCATGGGCAAAGGATGAAAAGGGATGGACATTTCTTGGGTGGGGAGGTTACATGCATTTGAATAGGCAGGCACCTGTGTCCATGCCTGAATAGGTCACAGCCAATTCATCTAGGCCAGCAACCTTTGGGGTTCACCTGCCTCTACCTCACAATGCTAGGTTACAGACATGCTGCTTGTGGGTGCTGGGGATTCGAACTCAGGTACTTAAGTATGTAGAGCAAATGGTCTTACCTACTGAGCCATTCTCCCAGCCCTCAGGGGTACGTGTGTTCTGGCAGGGGGCAGGAACACTGCTTGAGGATATGAACTGTAGACCCCACAGAATGTGAGTACTGGGGTTGTCAGTATCAAAGATATCTACCTCCCAGTGGTGTTTCTTATACCCTACCCTACATTAATCATTTTAAAGACCCTCAGAAGGGCCAAAAACATCACCCTAATAAAAAGTATTAGTAGATAGATGCTGGGGATGTAGCTTGCCTAGCATGCACGAAGCTCTAGGTTTGAACCCCAGCACTGCATAAACTGGGTACATGTCTAGAATCCCAGAAATACACTTGGAAAGTAGAAACAGCGGGATCAAAGGTTCAAGGTCATTTTTGGCTACAAAGCAAGTTTCAGGCCAGCCTGGACACATGAGAACCTGTCTCAATAAAAATAATAGAGTACTAATAGCATCCCAAGGGAACTAATAGTGTTTAGAAGCCACAGCGCAGCACTGATAGCTCACTCCCTTCAAACATTTGGACTTTGGGGTAGAGTTAGGCTGCAGGTCTGCCTCCAATGCTGTCAATAAAGCAAGAGGCATGGTCTACACTCTATAAGGGATTTTCAAATAATATGTCTGCCCATCTAAATATCTTCACCCTTTATTTTTTCCAATGTTCTTCATCCCTGGAGGTAGTGTCATCTTAAAAAAGAAACCAGAGGGGTTGGGGATTTAGCTCAGTGGTAGAGCACTTGCCTAGCAAGCACAAGGCCCTGGGTTCGGTCCTCAGCTCTGAAAAAAAAGAAAGAAAGAAAGAAAGAAAGAAAGAAAGAAAGAAAGAAAGAAAGAAAGAAAGAAAGAAAGAAAGAAAGAAAGAGAGAAAAGAAACCAACAAAATGAACATGCTTCAAATATGTAGAGTTTGATGCACTTTGCCACATGTAGCTACTGAAGAAAATGTCACTAAAAGAATAACAGCGAACAACTTCTTTAAAAAGATAGAGTTCAAGCGGGGCAGTGGTGGCGCACGCCTTTAGTCCCAGCACTTGGGAGGCAGAGGCAGGAGGATCTCAGTGAGTTCAAGGCCAACCTGGTCTACAAAGTGAGTTTCAGAACAACCAGGACTGTTGTGGAGAGAAACCCTGTCTCAAAAAAAAAAAAAACGAAAAAAAAAATTGAGTTTAATGTCAGCAAATTACATAAATAAAATGTGCAACTCCTCAAATATGTATGTCTTCTATTGACAGTTTGTTTCACTGATTTAGGCCTAAGTCTGAATCAGTTGCCTAGAAAGGAGGGGAAAATGAGAATATGGAAAGAGACTACAATTGTTGCCTTCCTCTTTAGAAGTCCATCACAAAGGGCCCCTTGTGGTCTCCATTGCAAACACAGTCCCCTCCCTTCCCCACTCCTGGAATGCAGGAAACTCTTCTTTATCACCGCCATTGTGGCATGAGAAAAATGTGACAGACATGGAACAGTTGATTTTGTCACCTCAGGACAGTCTCTTCACCCAGTACGAGTCCTCTGAGACTCACTGAAGCTGTAGATAATGGCAGTTGCGGGGAGGGGGGTATGTGTTTGGTTTTAGAGTAGTAGTCCAAGGTCTGGATGTATCACAGTTTAATCATTTTTCTTTGTTTGTCTGTTTGAGACAGGATCTTGCTATGTAAGCCCAGGACAGCCATGACTCATACTCTTCCTGTCTCTGCCTCCTAAGAGTTGGAATTACAAGTATGTACCATCACACCCAACCTCATTATTCATTTAAGGACACTGTATTATGATTCTTCAGGAAAAAATAGGGAGGAGACAGGACTTACAAGAGGACTTCACTGAATCTGAGGACCTGAGATAACTGGTAACATCATTTTTTTAATGTTTTAAAAGTTTCAAATTAGTGTACACAGTATTAGATTGTGACATTTTCTTTCTTTTTTTTTTTTGGTTTTTCAAGACAGGGTTTCTCTGTGTAGCTTTGCACCTTTCCTGGAGCTCACTTGGTAGCCCAGGCTGGCCTCAAACTCACAGAGATCCGCCTGGCTCTGCCTCCCAAGTGCTGGGATTAAAGGCGTGAGCCACCACCGCCTGGCTAGATTATGACATTTTCATTGTGACATTTTCATTGTGACATTTTCAAAGAAAATTTGGTGGAGAAAAGGGTTGATTTCAGGCTACAGCTTCGTGTCCATCAGGAAGGGGAGTCAGGGCAGGAACTCAAGCAGGGTAGGAACTTGGCAGCTGGAACTGAAGCAGAGACCATGGAGGAATGGTGCTTAATGGCTTATTCCTTATGTCTTGCTCAGAGTGTTTTCTTCTACCAACAAAGACCACCAGCCCAAGAATGGGTACTGACCACAGTGAGCTAGCCCCACCCCACCCCTCATATCAATCATCAATCAAGAAAATGCACACAGGCTTACCGACAGGTCAATTTGGTGGGTGCATTTCTACAATTGAGATTTCCTCTGCCTCAGTTCCTGCCTCCAGTTTCCTGATTTAAGCTCCTGTCCTGACTTCCCTCGATGGTGGACTATGATGTGGAAGCAGAAGGGAAATAAGCCCTTCCCTCTCCAAGTTGCTTATGATCATGGTGTTTTATCATAGCAACAGAAACCCTAAGGCATCCATTATAGATGTTGATAACACAGCAAAATATCAATTTACAGTAATTATTTATGTGAGACCAAAATGAGCCATCTTAGAAATAAGACCAAAATGCTTTCACCCTAAAATTAAGGCCTAAGATTTCTCCTTT